TTTCGGTGAATCTACAATTTGCAGAAAAGATAAAGTTATTATAAAGTTCATTATATTTAATATGGTCTTTTATTAAACGATGCTCCCACTATTTACTCAAGCCAATAGCCCTCATATTAACTCGGGAAAGCCCGTTGGCTTTCCTATGTGGACCGAGATCCCATCCCATTTCAAACCTTCGCTTTGGCGAACCAACCAAATGGGTGATTAGGTAGGCCAACAAAACTAATCCACACCAATTGATAGCTCCCACTATCAACCTCAAATGTGAAAAAGCTAACAAGCCAATCACACGATTCAATGGCTCAACCATTGTCCTCAAGTGTGATTCAGTATCAGTAGAGTGGACATACATGTCACCACGTACACATAAATGTGTATGCTCTACTATGCCTATGACGCGTGTATCAACCTTCGCTTTAGCGAACAAGCAAAACCGTCATTTTAAGTCGACCATCACCATTAAGGAAAAACTCCAATGAAATTTTAACCCCCACTGGTAGAAGGTACCTTCGCTTTGGCGAACAAGGTTTGACGAAAGTGGTTTGATAAAAAAAATGGTGATGGAAGGCACAAGTGACTTAATATACTTAGTGTGAGGGGTTGTTGTTTAATGTCTCATCAGTATATCTCTTGTTAGAATGACATGTTTGGCATGTATTCAACATTCAACCTTAGCATGCTTCTAAACAAAATTAAACGTGCCGTGACATGGCCTAACTAAAACCGATCTCCTCGAGCCTGAGGGATCGATGGGTATCACCTGGGATCCTGAACAAATATCTTGAGTCTTCAAGTATGGTTGCCGTCTTCGCTTCGTCTCCAGATATCATTACAAACAACACATTCTAATTAAAAATAATTAAACTAATTTACCTCAACAAATTTAGAAAACTCGATTTACATTCGAGGGGAATGAGATGACGAAAAGAATGTACATTAAGAAGAAGAGAGAAGGCAGGACATGCAGGCCCTATTTAAAAATTATAGCCATACATACCCAAAATAATTTAAAACATTCACCCTTAGGTCTAGGCTTAGTACCGCACACCATGCATACAAACAAGTACAAAGCCATTTCAAAAACAATCAATTTTGAATTGGGGGGTAATTAATTAATTACCCTCTTAAAATGCAGAAGTACATTGCCTTTATAGGTTATTAAAACTACAGATTAGTCTTTTACGAAAAATACAGAATTGGGAAAACTACAGCCTTCGCCGCGGCGAGGATTACAGTATGCACTTCCCTACTGCATACTTCGCCGCGGCGAAGGTTTATCTTCGCCGCGGCGAAACTGTCTAGAGGCTCCTCGCGCCGCGGTGAAACCTGGAAATCCCCAATTCATAAGTTCGCGTTTTTTGCAGTTTTTGTGTATAACACGAATCCAAATCAAATCAACGTGCATACGTTAACCAGGATATTAACCAACCAATAAACATTCATTACAATTATTACACCAGTTTATCATTGAACATTCATTCAACATGGATTACAGATTTTTCAGTTTTAACAAAATCTGGGTTTTCCTGCAGATTCATCAAGGCAGCATGTTATCAACAAATACATGTATCAACCATTCACATAACTGTAAATCTAGTACCCTAGGCTCTATACCATGTAGGAAACGACCCGGTTGCGCAGCGGAAAACAAAAATTTTACAACCACAGATCGTTACTTAGAACCCAAATCAAGGCACGATTTACAGTTTATGCATAATATAAGAATCTGCAGAAAAATAAATTCAAGGTTTGAGAAAAACCCACGTTGGAGGCCCACAATTGCCTCTGAACAGGTTTGCTTACGATCCATGTGTAGGATTGAACCAAGAAGTCACACGAAGACACCACCAAGAACCAAGGGTGAGGTGCTAGATCCTCCTTGGCCTTAAGATAATCAAGAAGAAAATGATGTATTTGATTTTTCATTCAAAAGGAGAAGTGGCGTGGGAGAGTCTCCAAAAGGCTGCTGTGTGTGTTTTCTTTTCTTTATCAAAAAGGCAATCAATCATCATAATAAAAACACAAACACTATTCTTTTTATGGCAAACCAAGTTGTCCTATTCTCACAGGAATGGCTTGGGCTCCAACCCAAACACCCATGTTCCAAACACTCCCAAAATGGATATTTTATTTATTTCATCTTATTTCAATTAAAAATCAATTAATATAATTTAATATATATATTAAATTTAACACTAATGATAATTTATTTGAATATTTGCGAACACACATTCAACCGGAATTTCACTATTTAATTTAACAAATTAAATAAAGGCTACGACTCAGCAAATTAATTACACTGTGAAATTTACAAAATACCCCTTCGCCCAAAAAGACGAAACGCGCCTATTCTTTCTTTGGTCTTAATATCTTCTATGTGGGTGACATAGGACTTCATCTACTCGGGGGTATCGGTACCCATCGTGACTGACCATAACAGGTTCCCTCGCCACCTCCCCTGCAACTTACGGATATGGTCGTTAGATACGACGTTTACGCACCATCGCTCAAAAGAACAGTAGCTACCCTGTCAATGATATTCTACCTGTGAGGCGCTAAGTACCTAGATCATGATCATATGGTTATTCGACGAGACGGAAGGCATAAAAATAGTGTCAACCTTCGGTTACTCACGATATTATATATATATTCAATTTCATGAACCAATGACCCGTATTATAATTGGATAGAGCAACAACTCAATCCCACCGTGGCCACAGTTTCGTGTCATTGCATATAGAATTGCGCTGTTGAGATAACTTCTCCGTACGGGAGTTGATGAATCCTTGTCAATCCACCTAGTCTTGGATACACCTCTGATATAGCCATCCACACCGTACGAAGCTCTGAATAGAACAGCTTAGGCCTAGGTCTAACTGTACCAATCGGTCGCCAGGCGTCTGCGGTGATTCAGTTAAGGCTCACATGCACCCCATTGTTAGAGGGTTGTCCATAGGACAGCTGGGTATGTACAATCCATTTGGAGATCTGACGTGGTCAGTTAAGCTGAAACTCCCTTCGCTTCTGCGGTATATCCGCTACAACAAGCACCCAATGTGTGTGCACCAAGTGTGTACACAAAACCAACATTGATAAGTGAGATCAGCCACTGCCTTTCGACAGGGTCGTTCAACACTATGATAGCCTTACCGTATTATCTGTGCCCTTACTTCAGAATAATACTGGGGCTACGGACATTTCTAGAATGGCCACCATATGTGCCATAGGGTTCTCACTATCAAGATTTGAAACACTTGATACCCTCGTCACGGTTCTACCATTCTAAGGAGACTATATCAATACATAGTGCAATAATAATGATTTCGACGATTATGAATAAAATGCCTTTTATATGATTAATGAACATTATTACAAAGAGTCAATTCCACAATAATTGATTGGCTCTAGGGCATCTACTCTAACATTGAAAACTCCAACGTTCTCCACTTGGTGAATACTTCACCAATGAAGGCCTATCTCATCAAACACACCATGTAAACTTGCTAAGCTCACAACCTTGGTAAGAAAATATGCAACATTAACAAGTGATCAACCTTCTCTAACAACACCAATTTTCTTCCAACTTTTGCCTAATGAAATGGTATTGTATGTCAATGTGTTTTGAGTCATGAATGAAAGGCAGGATTCTTGGCTAAGAAAATAGCCTTTGATTGTCACACCCTATCTTCTAGCATCAAGATTGAAAACCAAGCTCTAAACTCAATCTTCGAAGCCACATAGCTTCTTGCCAGCATGTGTCAATGCCATGTATTCTGCCTCAGTCGATGACAAAGCCACAGTACTTTGCTTTTACTCATCCAATAAATAGGAGCACCAAATAGAGTGAATACATACCCATTTGAGAACTCCTATATTGAGATCACCTCCCAATCAGCATCCACAAAACTTGTCACATCTAGCTCATCCCTATCGCCATGCCTCCATAAACGAATGCTAAATCAGAGGTCCCACGCAGATATCTAAGAACCTTTTACAGCACTCCAATGCCTTGCCACGATTGACATAAAGTGACTTAAAACTCCCACTGCTTGTGCAATATCAGGTAGCATGCACACCATGGCATACATCAAACTAACTACAACACTAGCATACGGAACGTGTCATTTCTTCAGCATCTTCCTCAAAAATAGGACACTGATTAGTGGACAATTTCACTCGCAAAGTCATAGGAGTCTTCACAAGTTTACAATCTACCATGTTAAATTTCTTCAAATCTCCTCAATGTACTTTCTCTGCCTGACCACAATTTACAACTTGACGATCTCTTGTAATTGTATACCCAAAATAAAATTTGCAGCTCCAAGATCCTCATGTCAAATTGTGCAGCCAACAAACCCTTCACAAAAATTATCAACTCCTGACATTCCCTATCAGCAACATATCATCTACATTAAAATAATAAAGATATTTCTAACCTTTTTACATAGACATAGTGATCCACGTTACTGCAGCTAAAGCCATGCTGAAGACAAATAGAGTGAACTTCTAGTACCACATCCTTGGTGATTGTTTTGCTCATATAGAGACTTCCTCAACCTACACACCAAGTCTTCTTTCCTTTTATACAAAACCTTAGGTTGCCTCATGTAAATTTCCTCCTTTAAACCACATGTAAGAATGTCGTCTTTACATCAAGTTGCTCAATTTCAAGATTATACGTAGTAGTAATAGATAAAACATACCTAATTGATGTTAACTTGGCCAAAGGAGAAAATCTCACCATAATCAACACCCTCAATCTGAGAGAATCCCTTTGCAACGAGTCTCGCCTATACTTTGCAATTGTTCCATTTGCTTGTAGCTTTTTTTGAACACCCATTTACAACCAATTACTTTTCTACCCTAGGCAATTACATAAGACCCACTATTATTTGTACAATCACTGCATCTCTCATTCATTGCAAGGTCCCACAGATATATATGCATCTTCCATGGCTCTTGCTTCATTTACATTCCTAGGTCATTCCCCGTCACATTCATTGTATGCAACCAATCAAGGCACTTAGAGAGAAACGAACTGGTGCCCTTCTAACTCTTGGATCTTCTAAAGTTGGCAACACCACATACTCATCATCAGAATCATCCTCTGAACCATCCACAAAACCCTTATCAACCACACTATCAAATTTATCTTCATGATCAAATTCTATAGGGTCTACATTATCAAATCTGTAGCAACATTAGGAGTCACCTCTTTCTTTTACTCTACTGTAGTCACATCAAACTAAACTTTCTTTGACTGTTCAGGATCTTCAAGGGCTCCAATAGTTGTTTTACCTCTCTAAAAATATATCTCTTGTATAGATGATACTTCTACTCACAAGATTCCACAATTTGTACCCTTGATGCCATCCTAAAACCATACAAACTTGCATTTCTCAGTTTACTGTCAAGCTTGGTTTCTTTCTCTTTTGGCACATGCACATATCATCATAACCAAAAACCCAAATAAATGATAGATTAGGCTTTTTACCATACAGAGCTTCAAACGGCGTCATATTTAACAGAAGAGGTAGGAGACCAGTTCTTCAAAAACAAGCCATTGCAGTAGCTTCAACCCAAAATTTAGACCCCATCTATCTTATTCAGCATACACCTAGCCTTCTAATAGTGACCGATTGAGACATTCAACCACTCATCCTGGTGAGGGTGTAATGTGTAGTTTTCTGCATTGTAATTCTATGTGTCACACAAAACTACTCGAACTTACCAAAGCAAAACTCACCACCATTATAAGTTCACAAAGCTTTAATCTTCTGTCAACTAGTTCTCAACTAAAGCTTTAAATTCTTGAAATTTCTCAAAAGCTTCAAACTTGTTGGCATAAAATAAACCTAACAATATCAAGAAAATTCATCAATGAAGGTTAAGTAATACTTGCATTTACCAACGAATTCATATCGAGTAGGCCCGAAAACGTCACTGTGAATTAACACCATAATTTTGTTGCTCTCGTGCCTATCGACTAAAAACTAACTCGATTCTATGCCTTGTAAACAGTCCTCACAAAACTCAAAAATCATAGAACAATTAGGAATACCTTCAGCCATTTTGAGTCACCAAAGTAGACAAAGTCGGCTCCCCAATGTGCTCCATCGCTAATGCCACAATGTTGCGAAATCAAGTTCTTTTCACCTTCTTTTCCTAAACATAACCACAAAGAGGAATTTCTTACAACTGATGCCTGCAGCCTGTAAAGTGTACCATATTGAACTCCTATGCAATAATCATAGATCCCCAAGTATCTTGTAGAATGTCAGTCACAACTAAAAACTATGCCTATGTCAGCCATTGTTCAACAAGAGAGTAGATTTCTACTCATACAAGGGATGTGCATCACTTTAGGGAGCGTCCTCACTGAACCATCATGCAAACTCAACTGATTTTCTACAACCAATAATCTTCACAACAGCATCATCTCCTAACAGAACGTTTCCTCCATGTATGGTCATACTCAAAACCATTCCCTGTTAGGTGTTATATGAAATGCCCACCAGTATCAACATACCAAACTGATTGGTCTGATTAGCCATAAATGCAATAGCACATACATATCAATATCTGATTCTCATTTGTATGAGGTTTCAACTTTCTCCCTTCTAGTTTGTTTCTACGATCTTTCTAAAATGCACGAATTCTGACATCTCCAACATTTAAACTTACCTTATCCTTGCTCTTAGATCTACCTCACAATTTCCCCAGTCGTAGACTTATTAGAATTCCTACCAAGGTTTCGTCCCTTAGTAGTTAAAGCATCTCTAGATGAACCCTCTGAACCTCTTTTTTGCATATCCTCTGTAACAATGTAGAACATTCAAATTCCCAGACATCTGTGTCGATCCTCCACCACCAATTGCAACAATCAAGTTGTCCACGTATCAGGAGAGAGCACAACAATGTATCACTTTCTCAGCTTCAATGAGGTGTACATCCATAGCCAGTAGCTGATTCACTGAGTATTAAACTCATCTAGATGTCCCAAAAAAAAAAAATCCCCATCATGTATACAGAGATTGTAGAGTTTCTTGCGACAGAATAGCATGTTCACCAAAGACTTACTCAGATACATATTTTCCAACTTCCCATAAACCTACCCTATCCTAATCCATACTTCATTAGAATAGAGTCCTTAAGACAGATGCGAATCAAACCTCTGGCTTTCCAATCCATCTTATCCCATTCAACAAGTGCAACACGATCAGCCGCTAATAATTCTCCTCCAGATGTGTTCCAGGTTTAGACCCAAGCGTACTTGATGCTGCCGTTTAGTGTTTCACTCGTCGTAACATCGAATGTCCTGATTGTCAAACCTATCATTCACAATTGCCCCACATATCCTTATGAACGAGTAGATCCTCCATCTACAGTATTAAGAGCTCGAAGCGTTTGCCGTTGAACTTCAATCTCAACCTTTGATCACCATCTCTAAATCACTCATAACAAACATGAAAGCTCTGATACCATTGAAGGAAATAAGGCAGTAACGAGAACAAAATAACATAAAACAAATCAAAGACAGTAAAAAAGAGAAATAAACATGTCTGATTTACCTTGGTTCACCCAATATGGGCTACGTCCAACTGAGTCAATATTAGTGCAATACTTCCTCACCTCTCTCGTTTACAATGAATGAATTGCCCTATGATTACTATCACATTCAACAAGTGAAAAAATATTTACATACTAGGTTTAAAGTGACAAAACCTAGTTTTACAAGGATTCAATTCTTAGCCTTAACCCAATAAGGATATAATGACTTATGGAAATCCATACAGTTATACATGGAAAAGGCCCAAACCGCCTATAGGCCCAGGGGCACTATCCCCACGTCCCCGTCTGCTCATGGGGAACGGGCCTCCCGAAATGTGTATATGTAACCCATTAATGCTGAAGTAGTCGACAACTTTAACATTCTCTCATTTTTAAATTTTTTCCGGTTCAAAAAACAAAGGAGATTGAAATCAAATGAAAAAAAAAAAAAAAAATTGACAATAACAATTAACTAGTGAGGAGAAATTATGAAAATTAGCGATTTTTCTTTTTTTTTTTTTTTGGGGGGGGGGGGGGGGGGGGGGGGGTAAAAAGTGGTGTGATTTCATTGGATTGCAAATTAAAATTTGAACCCGCAAGATCTTTCTCATCATCTGAAGATTCGGCTAAGCTTAAGAGTTCAACATTCTTGATTCCACGAATTTCTTCTAGGGAGATGGTAGAATTAAATTTAAATTCCAACATCCTCAAAATCTCATTTTCATAAATTTTTGGATATCGGGATGACCAATCTCCTATTGATATTTTATACTTTTTAAGCTCTTTGGAAAAGAAGTCTTTAGGCAACATTTTTTTATCTTTAATATCTATTTCTAAATTGGTCAGTCGAGATAAGTGCTTGAACTCCTTGAGTACTTCAACCTTCCACCAAATTTGGCATCCCTTTATATACAATTCTTCCAATTGCGATAATTTTGATATCACATCTGGTGCAATAACTTCTAATTGCCTACAATTGCTTAAATCTAAAAACTTTAACCCAATCAATTGACCAATTTCTAGAGGCAACTCCTCAATATCAGTATTTCGCAAGCTAAGGACTTTTAGCTTCTTAAGCTTTCCGATAATAGCAAAATCTTTAATTTTGCTATAGTCTAAACACAATGTTTGAAGGTTTGTCAAAAGATCAATTGACAGCGGCAACAATGATTGATGTAGTCGAAATAAATTCAATACCCTGAGCTTCGGCATTAGCTTGAAAAAGCCCTTTGGGATTTTGAAAGAAGAACCCCTCTTACTCATATCAAAAAATTCAAGTTCTGGACAATCTAATCCTTCAGGCGAAAGTTGAGTAATAATGTTATTACCAACTAAAGAGATAATTGTGCATTTTTGAAGTTTATCTTTATCCTTCCATTCGCTTTCAATGTCATTTCTCTCTGTAAACACATAGTGATCTAAATATCCACATGTTATAGCAACAATGCGAACAACATCATGCATGGAAAATCTTTCTTTGTTATAACCATCAAGTAACAAGCAAGAGTCTTTGAGTTCTTTGACCACTAAATCCAGTCTATTTCGTGCTTGTTCTATTGTAAGGTTAGCTCCTTCAAGTATACCTAAACTAACAATATTCTTGAACAAGTCTGAAATGGAAGTATTATTTTCCATTAGGCTAGAAATTATGAAAGTTTTCTTGAGCTCATCATGATCTAAATAATCATAACTCAACTTAATCTTATAATATTCTTTTTCCAAAAGTCTTGGGAACTGTGCTGGAGAAGGCATTCTTAGTACTCGCAAGGCATCTTCCCATTGAGGTTCTTGTCTCTTGTTCCTTAATGCTTTTGCTATTGTACAAATGACAATGGGCAAACCTCCACATTCTTTACATACATCATTTGGTAAAGAATGCAGTTCACGTCTTTGAATAACATTACCTACACAAGAGGCTAGGATTATTGCATTTTCTATTCACATGCTTTTGATTTAAAAACAAGAAAAGTTCTAAGTGTTGTTATTTTCTCTCTAGCTATGATATTAGATTCTTTTCTAAAGAAAGCCACAAAAAATATTTGAAAATCTAAATAAACTACACTTAACTCCAAATAATATTCCTTGTTCTTTTTTTTTTTTCTTTCCAAACACATTTGTCTTATCAAGAGCTCTAAGACTTTAAGACAGTTTTTATAGAAAAGAAAAATAAGCTGATAAGAAATGAGGAAATGTAAAATGAAGCTGCCAAGTCAGTTCTCATTATTGTGAATTTAGGCTGAAAATAATGGGAATTACACTAAGCACTTTAATTAACTAATTTTAAAATAAAAGATTGAAGATGGAGAAATAGAAATTAAGAGGATTTAAGATGTAACAAATTTTGCTAAAGGATCGATAAAATTGTATTTATGTAAAAATTTATAATTGGAGGCTAGCAAGATAAATATAAGTGGTCAACTAGTATCACTCAAAGTAGTAAATAGTGCAATTTATTAGTACGCCAAATTTGTGTATTCAATTTTAAAAATTTACACTACTAAATTTGTTGATTAGTAGAAAAAATTATATTATGTTATATATATACGGTTGGAGTTTATAAGAGAGAGTAATCTTCCCATTCAATAATGCCTCATTAGGTGAAGAGTCAAACTCACCTCAAATTCTATCATGTTCTGATACCATGATAGAATTTAAGGTGGGTCTAACTCCTTACCCAATAAGGGTTTGTTGAATGGGAGGATTATCCCCTCTTATAACCTAATAAGCTTGAGCGTGCCTAGTCGGTGTGAGACTCTAACACTCTCCCTCACGATCAAGCCCATTTGTTGGGTCATACTTGTTAATTGAGGTAGTTGTTGGCTCTAACTCCTCAGCCACTAGTCAAACACTCAGCTCAATTGAACTTGAGCTCTGATACCATGATAGAATTTGAGGGGGAGTGTTGGATTTCCATACCGACAAGACATGCTCAAGTCTATTGATGAGAGAGTAATCTTCCAATTCAACAAGACCTTATTGGGTAAATAGTCGGACTCACCTCAAATTCTATCATATACTTACACAATTTATCAGATTTTTAAATTACTATTTTTTATTTTTTATTTGAATAATCCTATATATGGCAATGAGATGAATAAAATAATGAAAAATAAAAAAAATAAAAAAGGGAAAAAAGGAGAGGTAACTACATTTTGGTCTTAGTGAGTTAGGTCCAGTAAAGTAGGAAAGCAAAGTTTGGGTCCATAACTATTAACTTTCGTTTAATGAATTTTTGTGTGGCCAAGAATCATGAAATTTCTGTTAAACTAGAGGAGTGAAGCCGCCCCACCTTCAATTCAAACCCTAATAGCGACGCCTTGGGTGGTTTTTTTATAATCAATTTGTGCTAGGGAGCTTGTTTTAAACCTGGATGGTGTTGTTGTAGATCTTGTGAAGTTGATTTGATTGGTGAGCTGGTTTCGTTGTGGCTGATGTGGTGGTGGTGGTTGTTTAAAGGGTAATGGGTTGTGGTGTGGCTGCAATGGGGATGTGTTGTGGTGTGGGTGCAATGGAGATGTGTTGCACTTTGCATGTTGTGGTGGTGCGCTGGAGGCCAATGGGTATGGCAATGGTTGTCATATGGTTTGCTGTGGTTATTGTGGTGTTGGTTTGTGTGATGGATGCAATGGCAATGGTTTTAGTGTGGATGCAATGGAGGACATGGCAACGATTTGGGTGCAGTGGTGGTGCACTGGAGGCTAATGGGAGAGACGATAGTTGTTAATGGCTGCCGATTGGGCCTTGAGGTGGGGCACGGTGTGGCTGAGGTTTGTAACTGCTGGGGTTTTAACAGGAAGTGAAGTTACGAAATTAAAAATGAGAAAGAAAAAAGGGTTATTTTTCAAAAGAATCAGATTTATAAAAATGAATAAAAAGAGAGAGAAAACAAAAAAAGTTACGAATTCAAAAGAAAAAATTACAGTATTTAAATTACTTTTTAAAAAATCGGATTAAAAATACGAATAAAACAGATTAAAATGTAAATGAGTTACACAAAAAGACAAAATAAGATTTAATATTTGGAATTACCTTTCTAACCCTAAGTCTTTCTCTTTTAATGTCACATTTACAAGGGCAAATGTGGGATTTCATTGCTGTTCATTGCTAGGTGTCAAAAGTTTCAATGGCTAACTAATGTTGGGTTTTTTTTTTTGTTATTTATAATATTACAGGGGATTTCGGAATTAGCTTTAATCTTAGGGGATGACAAAAAACCAAAAATAAAAGTAAAAATATTACAAAATTAAATACTAGAAAAAATTAAAAAAGATCACACACCCCACTTCCCAGCCAAACCCCATCGAGCAGCCCCAACCCCTTGGCAAGCCGCAACCAAATCCCCACCCCAAAGAAATTTGATTTTCATAATCTTTAATTAGATTATTAATTAAACTTATGTCAAAGGATTTTTCAAAAAAACAATTAAATTAGATTTCTTATTTTTAATGTGATGTTATAGGATGCCCCTAAGCCAACTCTATTATTCTATCAATCCACTAATTATACAGATTTTGAAACTATTTCATGTTATTATTGCTTTTAACTTTTTATTTATTCATGTCAAACCATAATGCCAAATTTTATGAGCTATAACAATTACCTGCCATTATCTTGAATAGCCTCCAAGCTTCCACTTCATTTAAAATGTTCATCCTAAAATTATTTGTGGAACCCATCTTCTCCAACACATCTTCTTTTCTTGTTGTCATCAACATTTTGCTTCTTCCACGATCAGCTCCAGAAGGAATTCCCACCGTCTTCAAATCTAGCTCTTCCCAAATATTATCTATAATTAAAAGGATATTCTTGTCTTTCATTCCAGAATATAACTTACTTGCTCTTTCACTCTCATCTTCCTCCCCATTTTCGAATTTAAGACCTAACTTTTTTGCAATTATTGTTTGAATTTTTTTGATATCAGGAGTTTCTGTTACCTGCAAGAGAAAAAAAAAAATATATGGCTAACCAGGAACCACAAAATAAAGAAAATACAAAAACAAAAGAAAGTTAAACTAATAACTGTGCTTTTTATTAAAAACGAAAATAAAGAAAATAAGGATGCCTTTATTAAAAGTGCAGAAACAATATTTTATTAAAAGCTTTCTTCTCATTATAAACGCAAACATACATCCTTGTATAGAAGCCAAAAGTCTAAATAAGTGCAATCAAATATATAAATATTATAAATAAATAAACTTTGAATAAGATAATAATAAAAACAAAGTGATCCAATAGCTTATCCTCAACAAATGAAACTTCCGTTTGTTTTCGTATTTCATATCATTCGTATCCTCAAAATAACTATTTGTTTCATTATCCTCAAAATACTATTATATTTTTTTCAACTATTTTTAAATCCTTCAAGTTTATTAATTTAACTAAACACCAAAAAAAAAATTTTAAAAATTAACAAAAATACCCCCACCCACCCACCCACCCACCCATATTTGTTAGATTCTAGCCACCATTGCCGCAAGATGGTCGGAATCTGGTATAATGACATACTACCAGCTGTATTTGGCCGATAGTGTGCCGATCTATCATTTTTCAGCCAAAATTTTGGCCCTAACTGGGGGTCAATGACGACCATATCTTTGGCGTCATTGACGGTTAGATCTAGTCGTCGACGACTAGAAATGACAGTAGATCTGACATTTTTCGGCCAGATTCGTGTGGATCTGGCTAGAAAAGGCTATAACGGCACACGAATAGCCAGATCCGACCGATCGTGTGCCGTAACGCCAGATTCTGATGGTGGTGGCCAGAAGCTAGCAATTGTGGATGAGGTATTTTTATTATTTTATAAAATTTTATATATTAGGGTATTTAGTAAATTAGCAAATATAGAAAAATATTTTTGTTAATTTTTAAATTCTATCTCATTATTATGACCTAACTATAAAAATATAAAAAATCGTATCCAAAATAACTAAACAATGGACCTAGATGTTTACCTCAACAAAAACAAAGTCGTCGAATAGCTTTTCCTTCTCCGCTTTCTTACCAACTTCCTGCACAAGCGTGGTCTTCCCAAGACCACCCATCCCGTAAACACCGATCATGTAGATATTCTCATCATTTAGTGCATCCCATACATTCTTCTCAGTGGAGGTTCTTGATTGGAAAGCCAAATAATCTTCATTAGATCTAAGCCAGATCTCCTGAGGAATAGTAGGATGGGCAACTTTACCTTCTTGCTGTAGGAATGGAAATTTATTCTTATCTAGGAGTTGACTGATATTATTCTCCTTTAACTTGCATGCTTTCTTGCTATCTTTGTAGTGGGTGATCCAGTTGGGGCACAATCCCTTGAAACATCGAGGATTGTTTTCTTTCTCTTCAATCAAATTCTCTGCGTCAGTAATGGTCTTCTCAACATCCTTCTGCCAGTCTTTAACACTCTGGTTGATCTCTTCCACGTTTCTTTCAGCAGCAGTAACCTTAACCTGCACTTCCTCTCTTGTGTTCTTCAGCTTCCTAACTTCACCTTGAAGGTTGTCAATGTTCTTCTTGTAATTGTACAAGTACTTAAATGGACGCCCAATCGGAGCAACCAAGCACTGGCCAAGTTGGAGAACAAAACTCCCGATACCCGCGATAGATGCGGCAAGTTCGGCCATTTTAAAAAAAAAAATTCTCCTTCACTTCTTGCTCAAGTTTGAAAAATATAAAAAATAAGTAAAAATTAAAACAGAGATAAAAACAGGTGCAAAATCAAATAACAGAACAAGAGTCAGGGAAAATGCTGAAATTCTTTTTTTTTTTTTTTTTTTAAACAAGAAATAAGGAAAAGGGAAAAATAGAAAGAAAATAAAACAGAGAAAGTAATAGGGCAACTGCAAACTGAAATAAAGTTGGGTGAAAATGGCTGAAATAAAGAAGATTTTTTTGTTCTTTTTTCAAAACGAAAAATAAGAAAATGGGAAAGGAATCTTTTTGGTAAACAAGAAATAAGGAAAATGGATTTTTTTTTTTTTTTTTTTTTTGGGGTATATAAACAAGAAATAAGGAAACAGGAGAGGAGTGAAAATCAAGCGATCTGGTTTTAGAGTAAAAGTATTTTTATTGGTATCTGAAGGGGTGAGAGAGGCTTCTGAGTGGAAGGGATTTTGAGTGATTTCTGAAAGATTGAGCGATAGAAGAAAACTGAAGAAGAAGAGAGATTACAATGAGCATCAATCATTTGATTTTAACTTTAATGTGAATAATTGATTACAGTGGAGACCCACCACGTGAACATGAATAAAAGTCTAAAAGATGGAAGGGAGGAAGAAAATTAAAGACGAAGAAAGCAGTTGAGTACTGCAAATTCCAGGTGGATCAAAGGCGTTTCATATAAAGTTTCCAAATAAATATTTATAATTGACCAAAACGTGTTTGTAAAACAGTAAAAGCATAAAATTTAAATCAAAGTTTAAACTAAAGACTAGGTGTCTAAAAAGAATAAAAATTAGAGAAAAGAATCAATCCATTGATTTTAACTTTACTGTGAATAAATTGATTATGGTGGAGACCCACCACTTGAACCATCAACAAAAGTCCAAATATTAAAGGGGCAAGAAAAACAAAAGATGGAGAAATCGAGACTATGAGAAGATGTTGTTCAGACAGGAACCTGTTTTTGCCTTACAGATGTGCCAATAGTTGTAAAAACTATGCCATGATTATTAAAGAAAAAGGTACGTGAAAAGAAGGTATTCAAAATTGGATGCATGTGAAGAGAATTTTCTCCAAATTAATTATTTTCTACCAACGACAATTGAGGTTGGCCACGGTCATTATCCCTGAATTTTTTTATTTTTGATATTCGAATTAGTTTACGTACCTCAATTAATTTCTTAAAATTTTAAAGTTAATGACTAAATAAATCCTCTCAATAATCACTCTTATTAACAACTTAAATAGATCATATTTAAAACCTCTTGAATAATACATCAAAATCTTAACTAACTATTAGACCATTATTAGTGATTATTATCCCTGGAATTTTATGGTGGAAATTCAATGAGATTGGAAAAAAAAGTTGAAAGATGATTCAAAGTAATAGAGGTTTGACGACAATCAATTGAATTTATGATCTTCTCTTTTAGTTAATATATATTTATGAAATAATTATTAATCTCAGCTGCTTGCACAATATAAAATATATTTACATGACATGAAATAGATGTAATGTAAGTGAAATTTTAATAGTTATACCTCTAAGAATTCGACCCATAAAAATCGTGGTTAATGGTTAAGGTTAATTTGACATAATAGTAATTGGGTACCCCGCATTTGTTGCTTTTTCTGCCAACAAATTTAATTAAGTTTTGTATAATTCACAGTTTTATAATCACAGTGGATTTTATCTATTCAAACAAGTGGATTTTATCTACTCAAACAATTTTACTCAAAATTGATTTGGTCAATTACAACAAATTTGCTCGTGTTGGAAATTATCCCTTTAAAATCAACTGCATTGACTCTTTTAAGCAAGCCTTGGGAGTTAGAAACGCAAATATTTATTGAAGTAAGAAAAAGAAGTTTGATATAGTAGAATATTTGACCATTCACCTGATTACTGAAACCCTTTCATTTCCTTCTCGTACATAAACAAATTAATATTTTATATTTTTGATCTTACTGTTTTTATGTTTTGTAGATTAACAATCTTTTATTTTGGTTTGGTTTGGTATATATTCAATATTATTTGAAATTTCATAGCTTTGAGGAAGTTAATTCATTGAGAATAATTTTAAAATATTAGAAGAAGATAAGATTAATTCTTGAAGATGATGTGCATATTACTTTATTCAATAAATTTTATTTAATATGCGGGTTTTTTTTTTATCAGTTCAAACAACAAGCGCTCACAATGAAAACCAATTAGTTGAAGTCAGGCCCATCAGGTGGTTAAGTCATACTCATCAGTCTGGTCGCTTAAGCGATCTGCTCTTATTAGGAGATCTGAACAGCAGATCACTTAATCAACCTAAGTGTTAGGAATTGATTTACCCAATGCAGCGAAAAAACAAAAATTAAAGGATAAATCGATTCCTTTAAAACCCAAGATCAGGGTACAAATTATATAGTTAATATGTCAAATCAAAATTCTGTAGAAAATATAACAACTCATTCAAGAATCAGAGATATTACCCACGTTTGGAGGCTCCTTCACTTTGTCTCCGATTTGGACTCGCTACCGATTCAAAGTAGAATCGAACGAATGGTGATCCACACGAAAAAAATCCGAAGAACCAAATAGGGATCTGCTAGATTCTTTTTGGCTTCAAGAATCAACTTGAATCAAAGAAAACTTTGATTCAAGAACTAAGGGAAAAACGTGAGAGTGTAGAGAGAAGGAGGGCCGCCCTTTTCAATGAATGAAAAAAATGAAAAACTTATATTTTCCTTCAATTCCCATGCACTATATAAGTGCATGTGTCAAAACCCTAATCCTCTAAGGAATAGGATTGGACTCCAACCCAAATTAGCCCTTGTGTCCAAACGCTGTCAATTTTTATTTTATTTTAATTATTATTATTGTAATTAAAATCAATTAATATATTTATAATATATTAACATTTAATAATAATAATGATTCATTTAAATATATGCGTACATATATTTAACTATAATCTCATTGATTTGATTTAATATTAAATCTAGGCAACAACCTCAGTAAATCTAATTGCATTGTAAGATTACCAAAATACTTTTTCGTCCTAAAAGACGAAAATACCTCTTATACAAACTGATTCTCAAATAATCTTCTAAGTGTTTGACCCGTAGGCTCCTCATCATACCGGTAGTGAGAAGTATTGCGATTAATATCAATTAATCGTCTCACTACACACATACTAAGATTGGCCCCCTAACAATGTATCGTGGCCACCCGATAGATTCAGATTAAGCAAAATTAGGGGTGTTCAAAAGAACCGTTCGGAACCGGAACCGTTGGGTACCCGGTGTTTGGTTCCGGTTCCTACCTAGAACCGATCGTTAACGGGTAGGTTCCGGTTCCAAAAATCTGGAACCGTACTGTACGGTTCCGGTTTCGGTTCCTAGAATCAGGAACCGGAACCGGAACCGAGAACCGGGACTGAAATAAATGTTATTAAAGAATGGGGGGGGTTATTGTAATTTACCTGCCACATATAAATACTTTAGATTAGGGCAAAAAAAACTCATCTTCTTTCTTCCCTTCTCACGCTCTTCATCTGCTCCTGCCTCCTGCTACTTTCTGTCCATTCACTTCAAATTAAGGTAAAATTTCAGCTTTTTTTCCTTGCAAAATAGTTCATTTTCTTTCTTCCCTTCTCACAAGTTTCGTCTACTCTTGCTTTCTGTCCACTCAGTTCAGATTAAGGCAAAAACTTCAGCATTTTTTTCCTTTAATTTGCTTGGCTTTGTGAAATCGTGATCCTTGGAATCTAGAAGAAGACACTAAAGCACTCCAATTTCTTAAGGTAATTTCTATTTCTTTCTTTTTATTTTATTTTTGAATCTTCATTTCTGCATCTGTTTCAGTCTTTTGGTGTTGAGAAATGTGGCCTAGGAGGATATCATTCACAAAATACCATCTTTCGGGACTGAGTGGCTTCTTAAGCCTTGCTGACATTCTGCAATTCTGAAGTTCTAATGTTATTTATTTGACATTCTGCAATTCTGCATTAATCAGATGCCTGCCGAATACCATCAAAATATTTTGCTTTTTATATGCTTTTAATTCTTGAATGTATTTTTATAAATCTCAAGCAATTGACAGTGAAGTAATTTACTCATCCTTGATCTGGCTGTGCAAATTTGATTGCCGTATAAATATCTTGGACATCTTATTTTAAAAGGGGAAGCAAGTTCAGTTTGTGGTTTTTATATGGCTCTTTTGGACCCTAGTAAATTAGTAATTGTATTAACAACAGTTTCGATTATGCATCTGGTATGACCGTATGAGTATTGTCAACTAACATATATTTTAATTGTCAACTAACATATATTTTAAACTTACTCTGTCCTTCATGCTTTTCTCCGAATCTGTTTTTTTCCAGGAATTTAGAATATTTAGGACCTTTTTCTTCTAAATGTATTGAGTATTGTCAACTAACAGGTTGTTGAATTTCATGTTTCTCCGAATCTGGTATGAGTATTGTTAACTAACAGGTTGTTGAATTCCATTGTGGAAGCATTAGTTTGTGCACAAGATTGGTTGAGATATGCATATACCTCAACTACTTTTGAGATTACTTGATGGATGCAGAAATTATAACCAGGTAACAAAATATATCAATCTTTTATATTCATATTTAGTTAATTTATTCCCAAATTATTTTGTTCAATATTTTGAACTTACTAATTAATTTCTTGTACTTGTTTTGTAGAAATTAATGCCACTGAGGCGAGCAATTCAGAGCATGGAGCATGAGATATTTTTAGTTTTTCATATTTGGATTTTGTTAATTGTTGTTCTATTTTATATGTTATGTAATTTCATCGTTTTAGTTTTGGAGTTTATAATTTTGAATTTGTGATTTTCAATGGATTATTGTAATATTTTAATTTTGAATTTGTGATTTTCAATAGATTATTTTAATTTTGGAGTTTGAAATATGAAGTTTACAATTTTAATTTTGTTAATAAG